TTTTTTCTTTTCTTTCTTCTTTTTCTGTTAACTAGAAACAGCCTGTGAGAATGGTTTTTCTGTAGGTCATCTGATGACTGTGATTTTTAAAAATGCTTGATTAGAGGGGTCTTCTCACAAAGGCTTATGGAGTGATTAGGGCAGGCTGGGAGCTGGGAGCGAGGGGATGGTGTGGGGTGAGACTCCCCTTTCCCCTTCTCCCTCCCCCATCTCCTCCTGTACCTGTCTTCCCCTCCCTCTTCCCCCTGTGAGTATCCAGCCCCCAGCTTTGCTCTCTCCCACCCGCGCCAGGGTCCCTCCTTGCACCTCCATTCCTGGTTACGAATCTCCATCTTCTTTCTCCTTTTCCCCTCCAGTCCTGATGGAACTTCTAGGTCTCAGGCAGGCCTAGGCACGATGTCTCTGACCCGTTGGGATCAGTGTGGCTTGGGGTTCTGGTCAGACCTCCATAAAACCCCCTAACTTGGTCACCCACCTTCAGTGGGTGTTTTGCTTGGGTGAGGAGTAGAAATTCCCTACTGGAAAGGGAGGGTGAGACAGTGGGGAGAGTGAAGAAGTGGTTTCTGATTTCACCATCATTTCCTCCTGGGGTTTCTTAGGAGGAAACTTTCCCTTCCCCCAACCCCAGTGGGAGGGATGTGGTGTGAGAAGAGGGAAGAGCCTGGCCCAGGAGAGCCCAGCAGTAGCTTGAGTCTTCTGGAGCCTTGATTTATTCCCAGGGATGAGGCCTCTCCAGGCCCAGATGTGGAGCCTGCAGCTGGAGGGTCCCATATAGGCCAAGGCCTTCCAGTTTCTCCCCAGGCCTCCTGCTTCCCCAAGGGAGGCCCTTGCCTTCCTCTGCAATTTGTCCCACACAGCAGGGGTAGCTGGCTTGGTTCTGGCTGTGGCTCTGAATCCCCTCCCCAGGGATTGCCTGCTCCTCACTGTCCTCCCCACCCCAGCTTAAGAAGACGACCCATGGCCGGGGAGGTTACATACCTGCTGCTGCCTGTGCTGCTGGTGCTCCTGGCCTCAGGTGAGGGGCCGGGGAGGGGCCAAGGGCAGGCGCTAGAAGGACAGGGTGAGAGAAGGGGAAGATGGGCAGATGAGGTGGGCATGATGGGGCTGTGTGGGGGGTAGGGCAGGGAACAGGGTGGCACCATGGCCTGAGGACTGCTCTGGATCATACCACAAGTGCAGGCTTCTCCCTGGGGAGGGAGGCCCTCATCTCCAAGCCCTGCCGTGACAGGTGGGGGGAGACCCTGACCTGATGGTTTCTTCGCAGGCTCCTGGGCACAGATGGCAGAGTTGCTGCATAAACTGGAGGGTGAGACAATCTCTGTGAGATGCCCGTACCAATGTTACCAGGCTTCAAGGAGGAAAGTCTGGTGTAGGCAAACATCAGTGGACAGATGTTTCACATTAGTGGACAGTTCCAGGCCCAGGGCTTGGGGGTCTCGATACTTCATCCAGGATGATCGCAACTCTTGCCACTTCACTGTCACCATGACTGAGCTCACGGTAAAGGACTCGGGATTTTATTGGTGTGGAATCCATGAATCTTACAGAATAATTCTCGGAATCATCCATCTGATGGTATCTCAAGGTGAGTTCTTCCCCTTCTTTTTTTAAAATTATTTTTATAATACGTACATTCTAAGATGTTGTTGGGTTGGGGGAGGATGGAAGGGGGAGCAGGGCTGGCCTGCAGCTGGCTCTGGCACTGGCCTAGTTGTGGTTGGCAGTGGGTGGGCTGAAGCCCATGGCCGCCGCCTCAGGACACCGGGGACTTCTGGTTCTGGCTCTAGCTCTGGCCTGGTTGCCTCTTCCCCTTATGTGTGAGTCAGACTTCCTGAATCACAAGATGTTAGAGCTGGTGAGGACCCTAGAAATCGTGTTCTTCAACCCTCTCTGTCATAGCTGAAAACTGAGGCACAGGAAAGAAAAGCCCCTTGCCCAGGTCACCTGCCGGTGAAGGGCAGAACCAGTGCCAGAACTCAGGCCTCCTAACTTCTGGTAGGTTCTTCCTTCCACATCACACATTTCTCTTGACAGTTTTGCTGCTATTAATACGACTTCTCCATTTATTTGGAATGATCCTAAAGCTTCCCCATGCTTGAGCCCAGCTGGCTTAATGGTCCATCCTGAAAACCCTACCCCTGACCCTAACTCCCAACTTTCTACCAAAGGGCTGTGGGGTCCATTGCATAGATGGACCACAGAGTAATGGGGGTGGGGGGTCAAGAAATGACAGACAGGAGACAGCTAGATAGTGAGGCAGACGTGGGGCTTTGGGGGTGAGGCTGGGAAGTGTAGCAGCCTAGGGCTCAGGGGTCCTGGGCCTCACCCTAGACCTGCCCCTAACAATTGAGAGCCCTTAAACTTGGAATGAGAAGTTTGGGGTGACCACTAAGCTTGAGGTCCCTGGGGATTCCTTCTGAAAATTGCAGAGTTGCAAAGCTCCCCTGCATTTACCTGTGGTGGTCAGGGCTTGAATGGCACCTCCCAGACACCCTGAGCCTGCCCAGCCATTTGGTTACATGGGTGCCTATAGGACCCAAAATCAGCAACTGGGTCATTCACTGCCCAAGCTCTGGTTTAGTGCACATTCCATGTAGGGCATGGAGCTCTGGAAGGGGAACCAAAAACCTTGATATCGCATTCTGTGCTGATGGAACCCACAGCCCAGCCAGAAAGACAGATGTGTGAATACAGGCTTATGATACAGGGTGGCAGGTGGCATAATAGAGGCATGTTGGATGGAGGCCCAGCAAAGGGAGGGATCACATTACTGGAGAAGGCCAAGGAATGCCCCTCATCCCTGGAGGACTCCACGGAGGAGGTAACACCACCCAGGCCTTGTAGGATGAGCAGGAATGTATCCAGGGGAGACAAAAGGAGTGGTGGGGGGAGGCTTTAAAGTTTGAAAGTGCATGACAGGCTCAAATAAAAACAGAGGAGACCATACAATATAACCAATATACAAGTGACGATGTGATATGTCATCTAAAGCCACTCGCACTGTGGTACCTCAGTGTGAAGGAAATCCAGCACCACGCAGAGTAACTCTCCCATTTGTCTGCAGGGCATATGCTATCTCAGGGTCCTCACTTGGTCCAGAGATGTGTGTGTGTTCCTCCTACCCAGGCCTGGGGCTGCACGTGGGAAGCCCTGGACTATGGGGCAAACAGAGGGTGCCCCACTCGCTGTCATCTCTTACAGCTTCAACTCGACCTGCCCCGAGGAGCACCAGAACACCAGCCCTGGCCTCTGCCACCA